AGTCTGTGCCTGCCCTGCTGTAGGGCAAGGGGCCAGCGACCCCTGCCCACAGAATCTTCCTCCCATCATCATCTTTCTCACCCCTATGGATGACCTCTACCATTGTGTTTCAAGGGTAGATATATCTATCTTGCAGTATGTAGCAAAACCAAGGAAGAACTCAGCTCTGATAATAGGGGATATCAAGCTGACTTGCTAAAAAACACAATAGACCTCACAATTAGCTTGTGCCATGAAGTTACATTGTACCATACTCTAGCTGGTTTCACATCCTAATACGATTCCTTTCTCACGCCTCTATGCTTCATTGATCATCCAATTCAAAAGTACCCCCATTACACCTCCCAAAATCCTGGACTGCTCCTGTCCTGCCCCCTTGCCAGCAGATGCCAGGGCGGTTTGGTGAGCTTGCTGGCAAAGCTGCTCTGCCTTCCTGACTCTTGTGTGTTTGCCCCGGTGTTTAGTGGAATCCAGGCTAAAGGACAGAGCAGACCAAGTCCACCGGGAAGCCGTGACCACCTCCGCGCTGTGTTCTCTGAGCGCCAGGGACTGTGCCAAGGTAAGGAGCTGCGCCCTTGCTGGGACTCCTGTCCATGGCACCAGCAGGGCACTGGTGTGAGCCAAAGGACCCCGCAGCAGTGGGGCTGGCGTGCCCTCAGCTCCCTGGGGAGAGGGTTCCCGCCGTCCTTGAGCCGGGAGAGCACAAGGGCTGCACTCCAGTGGCCCAGCAGCAGCTTCAGCCCCGGCAGGAGCTCCAGTGCTCCTGGCCACCAGCAAGTCCCTGGTTCTCGGTGGGGCCAGCAGCCTGTGGCCATGAGCCCTCCTCCCCCAGCAGGAGGGCCCTCTCTGCTCATCTTCTGCCATGCAGGGACTGCAGGCACTGCTGCCAGCTTTGCTGTGGGCACTGCTGTCAGCAGTGGTGGGCACGTCCGGCCAGGGCCCCTCGAGCTGCTCAGCCAAGCAGCACCGTCAGGGCACTCAGCGTGACATGTCTTCCTTCCTTGCTGCCATAGGCCTTTGGAAAATACCTGCATCCCCACGAGAGGACAGATGTCATCCTCGTGGCCATCGAGGCAGTGGGCGATGCCAGCATCCTCGACCAGCAGGTGCCCAGCAGCCTGCTGGATGTGGCCTTGGAGGACCCGGACGTCTGGCTGACGGACGTAAGTGGCCTGTGGCTGCACTGTCGTACCCTTCAGCCCTCTTGGGCCTTGTTCCTCCCTGCATCCCTCCCTCCCGAGCACAGGGGACTTGGGCCCCCCCAAGCCACCTCAAGGCAACAGAGAGGAATGGGAAGGGCAACTGAGCACATGGCTGCACTCCGGGGGCAGTGCCATCCTCACCTGTATCCCCTGCAGGCGCCCAAGATAGTCAGCAGCATCCTTGAGAGCCTGCCATACTGCAGCACACAGGCAGCGTGGGAGAAAGCGGAGTCACTGCTTCGCCTGATGACCAACCTGTACCCCACCGCAGTGGTCATCCTCCTGTGTAAGGCGGCTCTTCAGGGAGACAGGTACTGGCCCTGATGGCCTTGAGGGTGGGCTTGTTCCCTGTGGGGAGAGGGACCCCGAGACTCTCTGGCTGCCAGAGCCAAGGAATGCTGCAGGACAGCCTGCAGAGTCAGGCCCTCCATCCCCCCACGCTTTCCAGCCCTGCTGGCTGGGCTGGCTTCACAGCAGCCAAAGCTGGCCCAGCCAGCCCAGAGCCAGCCCGGTGCTCCAGCCCCACGGGGAACACGCCCTCAGCCCCGTCCTGCCCG